CTTTTCCAATACAAACAAGACGGAAAAATAATATTAGTCGCTGTATATGTAGACGACATCCTGGCTACGTCGAACGACGAGAAATGAATCATAGATCTAAAACGAGGTCTCAATAAAGAGTTCGGAATCAAGGACCTCGGAGAAGCTTAATACTGCCTAGGTATTGAAATAAAACAAGAGCCAGGCAGGGTAAGCTTGAGCCAAGGAAAGTACGTCGAGGATCTACTGAAGAAATTCAACATGGTGAATTGTAATCCTCAGAGCACGCCAGCGAGCCCAACGTCAAAGTTGAGAGCCACAAGAGATGCTGAGAAGCAGACGACGAACCCGCAGTACCAAGAGCTAGTCGGATCGCTCATGTATCTATCAGTAGCGACGAGACCAGACATTGCGCACAGTATAAGCGTGCTGAGCCAGTTCAATGAGCATCCAAATGAGGAGCATTGGGGAGCTGCGAAGAGGGTACTAAGATACTCAAAAGGAACGTCGAAATTGAGACTTGTATATCGACGACCGATTGGAAAAATCGTAGGATATACTGACGCTGACCGGGGTAATGACCCCACTGATTCAAAGTCGTATCCTGGGAGGAGCTGCAATCAGCTGGAAATCCAGGAAACAAAGGACAGTAGCATTGTCGATGACGGAGGCTGAGTACCAGGCCCTTACAGAAGCCACTAAAGAGTCAATGTATCTAAGAGGGCTCATCTATGAGCTGGGTATCCCACAATTCTCAGATGGAGAAATTTATTGCGATAATCAGAACGCAATTAAATTGACAACGGTGACGAAGTTCCACGACCGGACCAAACATGTCAGGATCAAATTCAACTTCGTCAGAGAAGCAGTCCAGAGCCAGACGATAAAGCTGGCGCACATGCCAGTAGAAGAGATGATCACCGACATTTTCACGAAGCCACTAACCAGAGAGAGATACACTGATATCACGAAAGCACTGGGAGTGAGTGAGACGGAGTAATGTAGCGCACGTGCTCGTATTAAGGGAGAGTGTTGGAGATAGTAATACTTACAAGTTGTGAAAGTTTTTCACTGTTACTTTATGATTTTTATTTTGTACAGTTATCATACTTCACTCTTCGAAAAACCAAATTTTTACTCGGTATCCCCAATGTTTTACCGAAGTAAAAATCGTAGATCATCAATCGATCGTCTGTCATTTAACAGTCATTCGAAAACATATAAATTGTCAAAAAACCGTAACTCGGTGGTGAATACACAGTGGTTTATAAGTGAAACGACCGTATAATGTCGGTAAGTCAGGAATTTTTTACTAGTCAACGATGAAAAAGTGCTGACTATATTTTATTTTTTTTTATTTCATTAAAAATACTCAAAGTGATTTTAAAGTAAAATCATGAAAAATTAATCAGACTACACGCAATTAACAGTTCCATCATTTCAATACTTTTCAGAAGAGTTTATGGCTTACAATAAGTGTTGTATTTTTTTCATAGTCTTAAATGAAAAACTATAATACTTTTTGTTTATGACAAATATAATAATCAATATAGTTTTTTTTTTTAATCGGGAGATATTTTATTCAACAATTAATTAATTTATAAATTATAATTTATTTTCAACTTAACTTTAAACATATTTTCTGCACGTCTAATATTTTTACCGTGATTCCAAAATTCGAATCGATTGTTAAAGATTTGAGTCTTTTGTTTTAGAGACGAATACTTTAATTTCAAAATTACGGAAAAATTGTTTGTTATCAAGAAAAATTATTATGAGATATTTTTGTTTAATAATTAAATTTGTAACAATTTCTTCTCCAGGTATTTTTTTGTACAGTTAATAATTTCACCGTAATTTCAAAACCAAGATTTTCATAATCATAAAAAATTTGAATCATTTATTACGATTATGATTTTGAAGTCATGAAAAAAATATAAATTTATTTAAGCTATTTTTATTTGTACAATAAAAAAAATGACTTGGTTTTGACACCTTATCAGGTGACTAATTGTTACGGACGGTGTCTCAGATAGCCTAACTGGCAAAGTCTCAGGCGCGCAATCAGAAGATCCGGGTTCGAGTCCCGCTCTAAACTGTCCGAAGTATTTTTTTTTTATTTTATTGTCCGTGACAGTAGCGTAAAATTACTGTGATTCGACAGTATATTGAGCATACAGTGTCGGTTATAACGTCGTAAATTCACTTGCGTATGCACCGTATATATTCAATAAATTTATAGTAGACATGGTTCACAACGGTATCCGATGCTGGCTGACAAATCGCTCGGTGTTACGTCCGGATGTTAATGGCATAACAATTGTAGCAGTTCCTTAAATTGGAGACTAATCACTTAAGATTATATGTCTCGGGAGGCGGGAACCGCGCCTATGAGTAATCGTATGTCAAGGCTACGTGAGGTTACTCACTGTCTGAGCGATTAAAAACTGGGTCATTGATTGAGTTAGGTCAGGCACGATGAGCGGTAACAGATGTTCATATGAGTAATAAAAGGGAGTAAAAGAGTAGGTAAAAGAGATGTACTGTATTTGTACCTGTATTTGTAGTCACGATGTTGAAGAAAAATATCTGTTCTCGTTGAAGTAGTTGAATGAACCCCTTGATAATTATTATTTATAAATATAATCTCCTTTTTATGATGGTTATTTTAAGGATTTAATTAGAAAAAGAACTCCGTTTAATAGTTACCTTGGATTTTATTTTATGCAATTAATTTGGATTACACTAATAAATGGTTGAATAGCTGATTTTTATCATATTATAACAATATAAACAACAATTAAAAATTCGTTGAACAAAAGAATCTATTTAATAGTTATTTTGGACTGATATTTGATTTGAACTGCACTAATAAATAATTGACTGGTTGATTAATATTAAAAACAATTCACACCAAAACTTGAAAATTAATTAAACAAAAAGGAGTGATGCCACTCGTTAGATTGAAGCAACAGCGTCAAGGAAGAGATTGAGGGATGTATGATCGTGGATGTATGATCAAAAATTGTTTGGCGACTAAAAGCCGATTATGGAATCGCAATGCGTTTTATAACCTCAGTTATCCCTTCCAATTTTGATAATTTCGCCCTAATTTCAATGGGATTTAGAATTGTGTGGGTGTTCATTCGATATATGTGTATATAGATGATAATAGTTGTGGTGCAACGACCCGATGGACATTCTCTCCAAATTTTATTACTCTTTTAACGACTCGGATGTCAAGGCGAAGAGCAAAAGAGAACAGAAAAATAAAAGTTTTGGGGTAATTAATGGGCCTGATAAGTCGAGCGGTAATGGTTTCTTTGTTCTAGTAAGACGCCCGAATGTCGGATTCCGACACGTGGCACTTTGTTTGGGATTTAATTGTTAATGACCTTGTATGATTAGGTAGCGAACGGTTTGTTTAATTAAATAAAAAAAAATAATTTTTACGATTATATATTTTTTTGTGAGCAGCAAGGGTAATAGGATTTTAATAATTCCTAACAACGAACTAACACTCGTGACGTTAAAATTTCTACTGCTGCTCCCATTGTCCGAAATGGGGTTTTTATACACAATTGGTCCTGAGATATTATTATTATTCGCATAAAATTATTTTTAATTCAATATCTAAATGCAAATTTTAGCGTTCAGAGATAAAGTGTTTTATCGGAATTGGTGCAAATCGCGGCTCCCGCAATCGTCTCAATACCTAGCGTTGGTGAACACGGCTTGGTGTAAAGAAACACCCGATGAGACGAACTCCATCTGTAATAGTATGCCTTGATCTCCTTCAATACTCAACTTCCAGACAGCAACCGCGGTATTCCTGAAGGTTTGTCTAAGCGGTTATAAGGATACACTTAGCATGGCCTTTGGGTGGCCAAGTGAGTATGCATAGTCAAATCAGGTGAATCTACACACCACGTATGGGTAGTTTCTTTCAATACTCAGCTTCTCAGTGCTTTAACCGACAATGCAGCATTAGCTTCATCTAAACTGCTATAAAAATAAGCTTCCCGTTAACTCGATACACGCGTACCGATGCTGCTGCTTATCTAATTCGGTATATGAAAGCCTTATTGTGCTTTCTGACGACTATGGAGAGATTGACCACCTCTTGATGTGATCAACATAGAGGTTTGTTTGGTGTACCGTGGGTGAATAGCTCCGTGGAGTTAGCCAACACCCGACTTCGACTTTGGTGCTCATCTCGTGAATATATCGGGTCAGTGTAGGTCATAAGAAAGCAATAAATTTTCTGAGAAGGTCGAATGGGGCATTACACATGCAGCATTTTTACTAACACTGATGCTACCGATGTTGCCTGACTACTACTACTAACACTCTTCATATTGAATAGTTAATGATGTCAATACTACTGGAGTAAGTTACTTTACCGGCGTAAGAGTAGTTACCGTAGAAAACTGATATCGAATTGATGTCAGATTATTATAAAGAGAAAAAAGAAAAGAAACATGAATCGGCCTGAGATACCGAGGGTGGGAATAAATGAGTGCGAGGAAGTAATGCGTTTTCAATGCATTTCCCTCGTAGTAAAATAATGATGATAATAAAATAATAATAAGAAAATAATGATAGTAAATTAATAATAAAATCCATACGGGTTACACAAGGCCGTAACATCGGTACGAACGAACTTTATACGTTGAAACGACTGTGAAACAATTGTCAGTCGACCGTGCTTTCACCGTGTCGCCGAAAACGCCAGGGAGATATTTATAACAATTTAAAATTACTAATCTTGTGGAAGTCTTCGACAAAAATTTAACTTTGTCTTATGACAGTAAATCACATATCACTGTCTATTCCTTTTCAAAATGTCAGTTTCTTTTGTAACAAGATCTTGGACAAGGCCCATACGTAGATGGAGACGCTAGTAACTATAAGTTTTGCACAAGCTCTTGCTCAAGAATCTTGTGTGACATATGTTTCTTGGGTAACTTGGGTTTTAACTATTTATTGAATAGTATTGTTTAAGCATCAATTAAAAATACTTACGAAACTATAGTACTTGCTTCAATAGGTAAATTATTACTTGGATCAATAAAATGCGATATAAGTGTAGTACGGTTATCAAAAGCTTGATTGCTGTAGTCAGTATCACTTTTTATTTCATCAATGTTGCAAGTATATCCAAACTGTTTGGAAAACGACTTAATAATCTAAAAATCAATAAGAAAAGCAAGAAGTAATTATAATGAAAAAATATAAGAAAAATGAGAATATTTTTTCAATCGGAAATATTTATACTAACAAATATTCGCTTCTTAATAACGTCAGTGGCACTATTTTGAAATGTAAAAATCACTCGATTATCCTCAGCGATAATGTATATTTGTATTACAGCTGTATCGTTGTGCTTAACTACAAAAATGTAATCAGATATTAAAATCACATCTTAAACATTATACATATTAGGGTGCTTCAAAAAAACTTTTTAATTTTTTTTTCAATTCTTACCCTCTCAAATGTTTCTATTTGATATAAAAAAAAATCTTCACCAAACATGAGCCCTATAGCTCAACTCTAAGGGGTCGCTATTTTTATTTTAGTTTCCCATTTAATTAACATGGGAAAAATTCTTTTTTGTTATAAATTGAATAATATACGCAATTTTTTACAAAAAACGATTTTATATTCTTAAAGGAGAGTCTTTGAGCTTTACAAAACTCTAAGACAAAGTATGATTATCGCTATAAAAAGACTAGTTACAGCCATTTAAAAATGACTAAATTTAGAAATTTAAAGAAATAGTTGGCAATTGGGTCATTCCATGTCAAATCGACAAATAGTTGGCATCGATTTCTTTCGATTTGGACGAATTTTGGTCAGAAGTTTTCGTTTATCGTAAAATGAAGTTCTGCCAAAGAAAAAACAATAAAAAATTTTTTTTCAAAAGATATGCAAATTCAAAATTTCGCAATTTTTTCAGTTTTTCAATTTTGTTTTTGTAATATCTCGAAGACTATTGTAGATATAAGAACGGCCTTTTGTTTGTTTAAAAGGGGACACTTAGGGTTATTGAAAAAAAAATATTTTGGTAAAAAATTTTCAAAAATGCCAAATTTGTCAAATTTTCGATTTTTGAAAATCGTTAAAAATGACGATCGAAATTAAAATTTTAGCTCAATTTTTTTTGTATAATACATTGTACTCATCATAAAAGATTCTGAAATTTTTAGAAGGGTGTCTTTTTTCAAAAATATCAATTTTTGAATTTCAAAAAAAAATTTTTTTTCTTTTTTTGCAACTTTTAAATAAGGTAAAGTTATGAAGATACATAGTATTGTAATTTTGAGAGTGAAAAATTAAATGCATCACGTAGAAATATTGAACAATAAATTAATTTCAACTTTTTTTTTATTTTCCATGCGTTTAGGATGACTTTGAAATAATATCCGAGATCATGACGAGATATTACAAAAACAATATTGAGAAACTGAAAAAATTGCGAAATTTTGGATTTGCATATCTTTTAAAAATCAGTAAAATGCATCGTAAAGCTCTTTTAACAAGCTTCAATTTTCACTACTCAGAAGTGGTAATAGCCTCAATATTACTCCTTTCAGAGTTAGTTTAATGAAACAGTTTTACTGTTGCAGCCGTTTTAGAATTATTCTCTTCATCATAGCTTAATCATGATGCAAATTCAATAATTACGATATTGATCTGTCTTTCGTGTGATGTTTTCGGGTAGATTGTCAGTAAATTTGTCACAAATTAGTTCTAAACATTGTTCTCTTCAATTAAAATTCTGTCCGGTATCAAAATTCTATTTAACTTGGAAACTGTTATTCCTAAGCAGTTACTTAAAATTTGGACATTTATAATTCAAATCTTATAATTTTTGCAATTCTTTGATAAATATCTGAGAAACTTTTTCTTCACAAAATAATTTTTTTTCTAAAATTTGTTCTAAATAGTTTTAAATTTATTATTGAATTTTGTTTCTATTGATGAATTAAGTTATTCATTATTAGTGATATTATATCATTTGACTAAAAATCAATTTTCTTTATTTGGAAAATCTACTTCCATTTCGGCTGCCGAATGGCCTTTTAGGTAGATTTCATAAAATCTATCTATTGCATTGGCCCTTGTGTCAAAATTCACACAGAATTTCGTTACTATATCAATTATTTAGTCGAGTAAAGCTTAAAAATGACGTTGGTTTGGAAGTTTATATATGTATATATATATATATATATATATATATATATATATATATATGTAATATAACGCACAGCT